TAAAAAATATTGTGTGCTGATTGGGTATGTCTTATAAAAAAAAAATAAGTAAAAAAATCCTAAACCATTTTTGGTCTATAATCTTCAATGCTTGTCCCTCAATATATTTGGTGAAATGAGTTTTATAAATATAAGAAAATTTTCTATAATATAAAAAATTAAAGATTTATATAAAATATATAAAATAATGTGAGTTAATGAAATGTATATTAATAATAATTATAAAATATTTATAATTGTAAAAATATTTTTTCTCTCTAGGCATTTACATGGATTGAGCTTGCGCTGGCATCTCGGAAGAAAAACTGGCGAAGTATTAAGAATCATGGATCGTGGCACAGACTCGATCAATAATTTACTTAATTACATCCTCTTTTCAATTGTACCGACCATTATTGATATTCTTGTAGCCGTTTTGTTTTTTATCACTGCATTTAATAAATGGTTTGGTCTTATCGTTTTTACAACAATGGTTCTTTACATCGGTAAGCATAACAATGATATAATAATAATAATAATAATAATAATAATAATTGGTACTGATGAATAATAATAATAATACTGCACTTATTAAGATGGAATAGAAATCTTGCGCTCATTGAAATTCGCTATTTCCAGAATTTAGGAAACAGATTATAATTAGATGCAAGTAAACAAGATTCTAAAAATGAGCAGATTTATTGTCACAAAACTAACAAATCGCAAAATGTCAAATTTTCTCTTATAATAATCTTGTCTGTCAATTTAGCTGCCACAATTGCGATCACGGAATGGCGTACAAAATTCCAAAGACGTATGAATTTGGCTGACAATGCGCAGAAAGCACGTAGTGTCGATAGTTTACTGAACTTTGAAACGGTGAAGTATTACGGTGCCGAAGCGTACGAAGTGGAATGCTATAGAAAGGCAATTTTGGATTTCCAAGTACAGGAATGGAAGTCAATGATTACGCTGAATATCTTAAATACTTTGCAAAACATAATTGTCTGCGGTGGATTATTATCTGGATCGCTGTTATGTTTACATATGGTTAGTGCTTGTATAAAAATTATGTTACAACTATTGTAAACACAATGATTTTTATATAGTAACGAAATATAGTAACAAAATGATAAATACAATGAAAAAATTTTCTTGTAGGTCGTCGCCCATCAAGGCTTAACAATTGGCGACTACGTCTTGTTCGCTAGTTACATAATACAACTTTATGTACCACTAAATTGGTTTGGTACATATTATAGGTAATATATGTTTAAAAACGGACATATTTATATTTATTTAATTCGTAAATTGTTGCAGAAATATATGATATATAAATCACATATTTTTGCAACAATTTGCAAATTAGATAAATATAAATATGTCCGTTATCGATTGATCACGTTTTATAACTATCTCATCTGGAACAATTTCATCTCTCCACTTATTTTGATAATTCTTTCTGTTTGAAGGGCCATTCAAAAGAATTTCGTCGATATGGAAAACATGTTCGAATTACTTCGGGAAGAACAAGAAGTAATAGATGCACCAGGAGCCGAACTGTTAGACGTCAAGCATGGACATGTGGTGTTTTCAAACGTATCGTTTGGCTATACCCCTGAGAAACTCGTGCTGAAAAACGTTAGCTTCATCGTTCCTGCGGGAAAAACGGTAGCTTTAGTTGGTCCATCTGGTGCCGGAAAGAGTACTATAATGCGATTACTATTTCGCTTTTATGATGTGGAACAAGGTGCCATTTTAATTGATGGACAAAATGTGAAGACTGTTAAACAGGAGTCTCTCAGAAGTAACATAGGTAGCTTTACTAGAGACATTTTCCATTATTATCAAATTAAATGTTTGATTAATAAGTCACTTCATGATTTTACGGTTTGCAGGCGTTGTACCGCAAGATACAGTATTATTTAACAACACTATAAGATACAATATTCAATATGGTCGTATCGATGCACCAGAAGCAGATGTAATTGCTGCTGCCAAATATGCAGATATTCATGAGAGGATTCTCACATTTCCAAATGGTTATGAAACACAGGTTTGTTACAAACTATTAGCTTCAGGGTTGCCACAAAATTGGAAATCAGGCAAAAGTCAGGCAAATTAAAAACGGTCATCGAAATCAGGGAAAAGTCAGGGAATTTTACAAAATTTTCTGAAAAATTAAAATTCTTAGATTTAAAGAAGTTTAATATGCGTTTATCACATACTTATACAGTTTTGTTAGCTAATGTAAACTCTCTTTTTAAATAAATAGAGGTTTAAAATGCTTTACTGAGAGCATTGGAATTTTCAACTTGTCTACTTTTTATTGGAATTTTAAATTTATTTAAAACTGTTTTTTGTTTTAACTTGTAACTTCTTGTGTCACTTGTGAACAAATTAATAAAATAAAAATTGACTTCGTATTTTTGTAATTCTTTCAAGTTTGTAAATCTTTGTATAATAGCAAGTTGGAGATTCCAATAAACAGGATTTAGTTTTTATCAAAAAGAATCTACATGTTTCTTCTATTGTAAGCAGAGGAAAAGAATTGTGCGCATATGTAAAAGAAAAAGATAAAGGAATATTAACAACTTAACAAGTGCAAGCAGTGTCAACAATAGTAACAGTAATTTACATTGCTGTGTTAAATTTCTCTCTCAACAAAATATTTAACGGTTTCCAAATAGTTTTCAAATCAAATGAACATAAAATGTTTTAATATTATTAAAAGTCAGGGAAAAGTCAGGGAATTTTAGAATGAAGAATTTGTGTAACATTGCAACCCTGAGCGTGCCTGAATTCGATTCTTAATGTAATTTTTAGACTCTAGATCTCTGACTCTCTTAACGCCTTTTCTTATCAGCAAGTCTCAATTTGATATTTAAAGTGCAAATAAGTTTTTAAATAAGTATGACAAACAAATCTATGTTTACAATTTAAATAAATTTAACTTTCGATATGTATGTTCGTTTAAGTGACTACTTTTTTTTTAGGTCGGCGAAAGAGGACTTAGGTTAAGCGGTGGTGAAAAACAACGCGTCGCAATTGCACGCACAATATTAAAAGCGCCAAAGATAGTGCTGCTCGATGAGGCTACGAGCGCTTTGGATACTCAGACGGAGCGTAACATACAAGCAGCATTAAACAGAGTATGTGCTGGACGAACTACCATCATTGTAGCGCATAGATTATCTACAATAATTCACGCGGACGAAATTCTCGTCTTAAAAGATGGTGAAATCATTGAGAGAGGCAAACACGAAGAATTAATTTCATCAAATAGCACTGTTTATCATGCAATGTGGCAAGCGCAGCTTCAAAATAATCAAGAGGATAACAAGAATGAAAATAATTCTGTCTACGAAACTGACGTCCTAATTAGTAATAAAAGTGAATAATAGAATTATATATTGTATATAATGTTTACGCTATATTTTATATAGATATACATATATCTATAAAATATGTAAGTATTATATATTATATATATATATGAATAAATATATAAACAAATGTTAATAAAATCATTAGTTTCATACACACACATCATATATATAGTATAATCTCTGAATGAGACATAAATGACAGATGTATAGTAGATATATAATATATATATTTGAATATCATAATGTTGAGGATTACAAAGAGAAATTTATTTATACATTAGATTTTATGTAAAAATTTTTAATTGAGTATGACATAGTTTTTGTTATTACAATTGTAACTTATAATTGGATGGAGTTGAGAAATAAATACAATAAAGTTGTCATATGAAATTTAATTTAGCTGTAAAAAAACTAAATAGTATTGTGCCTGAATGTCATCCTTTCTCATTCTGTTGTCGTTCTTTAACGAGTTATTTCATTTGCTAATATTTCATCCGTATTCCAACCTGATTCATCGATAGATACGACAGCTACACTTGGTTCGTTTTTCCCCCATACAAAATAATAACTTGCGATAAATGTCCATGTTAGGACATAAAATACCTAAAATAATTTTAATAACTTTAAAATAAATTTATTATTAATATATAGTACTGTATACTTATTGTAATATGAAACTGCTTTTTATATTTTGCAAAACAATATATTTTTGAATAATTTATAAGAAAATGCAATTAGTTATATACGGAAATTATTTTACCTTAACTATAATTGTACCGGGCGCATCCATGTATTACAATGTTATATGTATTTTTTTTCTTTAAAATCTTATAATTTCTTAAAACATTGTATATTTTATCATGCTAAACGCTTACACTTAACAGACTAGCGATTTCGGTATTTTTTCTTGGGAAACGTAAAAAATTTCAATTTTATAAATTAATAATTTGACAATTTTATGGTTTTACATAATGCGCGCACACATATACATACACACACACACACACATAGATCAATATGCGCTTTGAGTGCATGTATGTATATAGAAAATTTTATTGGTGTAACGGTATTCTTTTTTTTATATGATTTAAAATTTAAACAAAGAATGATCGTAAAATTGGTTGTTTTTTTGCTTATATGTATCTGATCCCGCGATTTTGGAATTAAGTACCAAAAATAAATATCTTAGGGTGCGTTTCCACTGCGCGCGTCAGAGAGAACCGAGAGCGGTCATGCCCGCGATTTAGCTGCGATAGCGATTGAGCTGGTTTCAGCGTCTCTAAAAAGTGGACATTAAACTACCAACTAGAGAGACCAATGAGAAGCACGCGTTGGACGGAAAGCATGCTTCTTATTGGTCTCTCTAGTTGGTAGTTCAATGTCCACTTTTTAGAGGCGCTGAAACCAGCACCGGTATGAAGCCAGCTGTCGAACTAACAATTTCAATAATTTCGAATACGTCATTCGATTGCTAGTTGTTTGCTAATTTTTGCATCTATTTTTATTTTGTTTGCATATTAATTATTTTGGGTAAAAAATCGAAAATAAAATTTGCACAAGTGTAACGGGTGTAACCGCCATTTAAAACCTTTATCTCATAATTTCATAAATA